TAAAAAAAGTATTAATCCCTGAACATACCTGCAACATGTAAATGTTAGCGGTATATGTCACTGTACACCTGTTGATATAGTTGATAAACAAAAGTATCTGGGAATTATAACACATAGTAAATTTAATTGGATATACCATACCATTGGAGAATTTATATACTAAATAAAGGCAATTTGTTGCAAATATTACCATTCTTAAAGATCGCATTCCTTACAAAGTTAAATTAATTTTATATAAGTAATTCACTTGCAGAGTCACACATTCAATACGGACTTAGTAATAACGGTCGAACATACAAATCCTACCTAAATCAAATTAATAATCTTAAATACTAGTAATAATAACTTAAATCATACAAACTTATGGATTAAAAAAAATATGTACAGGAACAATAAACCTAAAACTAAAAACTTTATAAAATATAATATAATAACTAAAATTAACATTATGTACAAGAATAATATTCAAATATCACCCCGTTTCGTTTCTGGCGCAAAGGTGCCCATTATGCTTGCAGCATTGCCACGCTGGATGGCAATAGACAATCTTTGTGCCAGAAACGACCCGGAGCGAGGGTCATTAGTTTTTTGCCTGAGTCGGCGGCCCAGGTCCCACACAAATTGCTTGGCCTCTGCGCTCCAACAACCCGCTGTTTCCACAGCCAAAGGCACAAAAATATAACCTTGCCCCAACGAGGAATACTTTAAGCGCTTCGCCGTTGCCTGATACTCAGCCGCCGCCCCAGCCTTGCGTGTCGTGCGGCCGATGTGGGTAGCGGCGAAAGTGTTGACACACGTCGCGTCCCACACCAAACATCGTCCCTTCTCCCACGGTACCAATGTAAGACCGTCAGGCCGTTTTCCGTCTGTGCGGCTGAGACCAGGTGGTTCGAGGACGGAAGGAACGCCAGCCGATCTAAGACCTCTCAACACTATGTCATTTAGAGCGTGGTGACGTGGGTGTCTGCCTGTACACCGACGGCAGCTCAATGCGTGATGGCCGTCAGTCCCCACCATGGTACCGCAGATGTATACATGTGGTTGACATACATCGCAGCCCAAGCGGAGGGCGACCGCCACCCGCAAGGAGTCACCATCAAGTAAAGTGCCCATATGAGGCAAAGGTAACGCGTGCAGCCACGCCCCGGATTCAGGCTGTGACACCGCCAAAATCCTCGCCAGATCGACTCCCGTAGCACCACCAGTAAGCAGTTCTAGTGTTGCTTTACAATTAACATCGTCCCATGAGCGCTGGAACTCGGGGTTCCTACGCACGGCTGCACCGGGGACGAGAGCCAACCAGGCTGCCAAAGCATCGGCCGCAAAGGGTACGGTCACTTTGTCGCCATTCATAGACAGAATATTAGCGACAAGGCCCGAAACCCCATGGGCCGACGCCAAGAAAGCCGGCAGACTCACATCACTAACAGAACGCCCCCAATACCCCCGTATCGGATTGGCAAAGATGCCTGTTTCCAGTGGTTGCCACTCAGGGAGACATTTAAAATTGTCTGAACCGCATTTTTTATGACAGCGTCAAAAGAAGCAATATCATCACCGAGCATCCAAACTGAAGCCGTCCGAAGAAGGTATGTTATTTTTGGGATGGCAAAACATTGCTGCAAGAGGACTAGAGCAAAGGAAAATGGCCTCTAGACGCTCGCTGGCCAGCAAGAGAACATCCTTACGAGTTTTCATGGCCTCCGGAACTGCAAATGGAAAAATAATAGGATCTTAAATTAAAAATACTGAAAACTATGGGTTCTAAAAATATTAAAAATAATAACCGGGATAATATAAATGGCATATTCAAACACTGTAAAACCTTACCAATACATATGCATGTTCAATATGCTTTACTCAAAGAGCAGTTTTATAACAATCCTTTAAAAATACCAATTGTACATCCTGTATACATTCGGGCCACAGCCAAGAATCGGCTATGTGAGCCGCGTGCAAACAATGCATACGGTGAGCGGACAACTACCCACCTTTTGCCCCAACTTATTAAAAACTTGCCGCAAGAATTACGAGACAGCATCACACATATGAATGTTAATTATAAGTTAAAAGATTACTTTCTTAGTTTGCTATAACTCGGTTATATACGAGCCTTGCCACTGTTTATTGCTATTTTGGATATGGTTATAAATACAATAAATAACAATCCGCTTACGTCATCTCATCAGTGATGCTAATAGTTTGAACACATTACATTATTAATTACCACGGACACTTGACGTCATCATAGCGCAACGTTTGAAATTAAAGTAGGTCACGTTTTCAATTCCGTGTATGTGTTATTTGTGTTTTTTTTTAAGAATATCACTGCTCACGGTGGCACTTCGCGGCCTCGTGACACGACACTGCATGCAGCCGCGTTCAAGCTACACAGCACTGCGCTTTGCATGTCACACTGCTGCTTGCTAGCTAATGGGCCAACTGATTATGCATGCACTGCACATTAAAATGATTTTATAAGGACTTCATGAGGTAGTAAAAAGTCGCAGATTAATATACCTACTAACAATTAAAATTCGAGTGAGCAATAGTCTTGTGTTTGCGTACAATTAGAACGACGCATGAAACGCATTATATTTAATTTTGAATACGATATGCTCATAGTTCATACAGTGGTGCTCGATGGTGCAGTTGGTTAGCTCGTTCAGCCTGTGATTGTGCAAGTGAAGCAACTCTCGCAATGGTCGGTCATTGGACGGGTGACCAAGAAACTCATTATCTCGAGCTTTCCGTGCTTTGAAAGGCATATTAAGCCGTTGGTCCCGGCTGCATCTGCAGTCGTTAGCACCCACACTGATCCCGCGTGGTGGGTCAAGGCCCAATCTACCTATTCTATTCGTAGGGAAGGCCTGTGCTCCATCAGTGGGGGCATTAAAAGGGTGATGATGACGCTCAGTAGTCATTAATAATTATAAAGTCAAAAATTTTCACAGGAAGCATAATACAACTCTTTTGAAGTGTCAATTTTTTCCCCCTATTACGTGTTATGAACATTTTTAACTGTGCAGAAAAACGAGTGAAAATAATTTCACAGCATTAAAATAATTATGTAACAATATTTACAAATTATTATATTTTTACAGTGTCAGTACAAAATGAATTGAAAAGATATATTAATTCAACTTCAATATCATCGATTAGCATTTTGATTGCTCTTTCATACAGTTTAAACACAAATAACTTAGTGTTTATTAATATCAGGTAGAACATTCATGCGTCATTCTCATCGCTTTGCTCAACCATATTTTAGGGAACGTAACAACCCGACTGACATGACACAAAATACAATTCATGCCTTCCATTTAAGACCTTGGTAATTTTAAACATCATGCACTGATTTGGTCAGTAAACTGTTAAACTGCGGAAGCACAGCACGGAAGTCCTCTGTCGAATGTTTCTTTTGAATGTTTCACGATCTTCTACCATAAATTCTCTCTACATATCTGAATGCAATTTGTGGCTCCCTCACTTTTCTTTATAAAAATAATATTACAATAGAAATAGACCACCAACAACATACGTTAAAATATTCTATACTTACGGAGTCATAATAACAAAACCCTCTTTTCTTTCAAAACGTCCTTATGAAGCAATAAGAAAGTTGATACCGTTGTAAAGTGCTCATAATAGGCGGATCCCGCGGCGACCGAGCGACGCGCCACGACAACGCGGCGAAGTTAAAACAGAAGTTGGTATCAACATTTTATGGCCGAAATTCCCTACAGAATTACACAGCCGGTAAAGCTTGGCTTACATCGGTCAAGCGTTCAACGAATCATGAAATTTAAGGTCTGCAGTGCTGTAAGGACGTTTGTGGACATTTATTTTAGTGTAGTCTTGATTTATTTTCAATTCAGTGAATGATGGTTTCTGATCATTTAGATTATTGAAGTGGGTATACGTTTCAAATGTTTTTCAGAACACCAATAGGTGGAGATGAAAACCTTAAATTGATATCAGCCCCAGTAGCATGAGCACTACAATTTACATTATATCACGTTTTTTATCGTGTCTAACTGTCAAACTCCATAGTGATATGACAATTGAGCGTGATAAAAACGCATTACACATCATATCGCGGTGATCATGCTAGTGGGGCAGAATAAGCGATACTTCCATCATAAATAAAGTCTTAAGGCATTGTTAAAAATATGGAATAGTTATATAATTACATCAGCCGTAGGTTGAAATTGCTCTATCCACAGAAGCTTGAGCTGTCATCATAAAGTTTTTTTTTAATATTTCCAACACTCGCACCAATTAGCCTAGCCCCAAAATAAGCATTGTAAGGCTTGTGTTATGGGATACTAGGGTAACGGGTAGAATACATATACTGTATATATATAAGTATATTTATTTCGAAATACATATTAAACATCCATGACTGGAGTACAAATGTTCGTATTCATCACACAAACATCTGCCCCCTTAGGGATTCGAACCCGGAACCTCTTGAGTCGGCGACACCATGAAACCCTACGTACAAACCACTCGGCCACGGAGGTCGTCAAAGTTAGGAGGAGTTATTTTGTTTGTCTGGCGCATTGTGTGTTCTTTCTCTCCATAAATCATAGAAGGTGTATATGTCCTCGGAATATATAGGTTCATAACAATAAAATGTAAAATAGCGCTGAACACCTCCCCTAGCGTAACAAAGATGTGTTGCTAGCTGATAAGCGAGACTAAACTTTATGAACACTTTATATTTGACACACGTACCTACGTATTCCCCATTTTTATAAAATAATTCCGAAAATTATTACCAGATGCCTAGTGAAAACCACCGAAAACACGGACCGGAGTGAATCGGACTCATACATTGAGGATTTTAAGTAAACAAATATAGTATTTAACCTCATAACAGCTAAGGTAGGTACATAATTTTAAACAATCAAGAAAACGCTATTATATGTGGCTATGCCACACCATTTTCTTGTCGATTTCCTCCTTCACATGCTCACTATATCAAATTGTTCCAGATGTCCTAATATGGGTTGGTCATGCGTGGTGGCACGCGCCGTGGCCTTCATCCTCATGGTTACCGGGGTGTCAGCGCTGACATCCGACATGTGAGTATATTTGTTGGTATATTTAGCAAAATCCTTAGTCCATGATATTTACAGTAACAAGAGGACCTGGGGGATACCACTTAACGGTATTGCTATGGCTTTAGCTTCTGATTTCGTTTTGTTATTTCTGACTGCTGAAATTTTTACTAGAAAATATTTCGCATCCATCTTCACCTATCCGGGCAAAAGATGCATTAATTTGTATAAATAGTAACCAGGTGTCCACCTGGGGAGCAACACTAATTTAAAAACAAGAGCGACGTACTTTTTCTCCTTTACTAAACAATAGTAGAGTGTTATTTAATTAAACAAAGATAATACATAGCACAAGCGGCACAAGTAACCGCCAACACACATGTAGCAGGCGACGGAGCGGAGGTAATACGCGCGTCGTGCGCAAGCGGTCAGCCGTGAAGTTCCCTGCTCCATTTATAACGTGGCACAATGTTCAGGCCCCATGCCTCTTACGAACTATGTACCTGTCGTTACCTAGTTACGTTTCAACCTCACAAACTGAGAAATCTTGGAAACATTAGCTGAGTAATTTATTATACGAATCTTTTTATTAATTATTAATCTGGTTAATTTAGAAAAAAAAATTAACGCTATTTTTAAGATTATTTAATTTGAGTATCTGTATCATTGGTTCTTGGCACTGTTTTGAAAGTTCGCTTATTTTGCAAAGGAAGGAGTTTCCTTTCGCTGATTCATAATATAATTTTCAAATTAATATTGTTATAACAAGAACTAAAGAAATGGGCGTCATTTGGACTCGTTTTGATATTGATCTTTATTATGATGACCAAAATTAAATTCTGGAATATCCACCAGATATTTAGATAATCCCGCCCCGATGGCATGGGGATAATTCTCAAATACATATATTTTTTATTATTTTACAGAAATAAAACACAGTTATATTTTCTTTATTTATAAATCGAAAAGATTTATGATAAACAATAAATATATAAATAAAAGAACGCTTCTTCCGTTTTAATTTTTTAATACATGAGGTATTTTTGTTTTAATGTAGTTTTACTCGTTAGAATATAAACGTATCACGTCTTACGTTGTGGTAAGGTAATAAGTGCTAATCTGAAATCAATACGAAGTCTGCCATTCTTGGCTCGCACGCGGTTAATTTGCTATGATAGGTATACGACGTTGATAAATTGTTCCTAATTTCTGCTTTTGTTTGCTTTGGCCAAATCCGTCCGATTGTATGTTCGTCGAATCCTATCACCGAGTTTTCCTAAAAATACAATTGGAAACTGCAACAAAAAAAAAGTAAAATTGAATGCACGTAATACTTTATTATTAAGTTAACAATGTTTCAACAGGTTTTAGGAATGGTTTAATCAATCAATATTGTAGTTCCAAAAAATTATTAAAAATAAATCAACATACACAATACTCAAACAAAAAATCTAGGGAAAAATGTTTAAGGTTTCACCTTTAGTAAGTTAAAATAGTTGATATCCCCCAGGACTGAAAATTTTATGTTAATAATGTCATAATTGACTCACAAATAATTTATTCTTTTCAGCTTCGCAGCGGGAAAGTCAGACAAAGAGATACTGGATAACCTACTGAAAAATTCTCGCTATGACAAAAGACTGCTGCCACCGGTAGATGGTAAATACAAGATGATTTCTATTACGTTTTAAATCCCTCTTTTGTTCATGAATTCTATGTTATGTTCATAACTTCATGACGATTATATAGTGAAAGTTAAAAAAACAATGCGATAATTTGAAAGTTTTAAACACGCCATAAAAGAAATTTAAATTTCAAAAAGCGTGAAAAATTAAATTTAAATTATGAGTTAAACAGTTATACATCACATAAGATTTCAGTAGGTGATTGAAGGTTGTAATATAATATTGCAGATCCAGAATTCTGTTGTGGTCTTACTTCGCCCAACGACTCTTTGGCACAAAATAGGGCAGGACTGTCTTCTCTGCGGCCTCGTTCGCACAACCGCGGTGCGTTGTGTTCCCTGTTTATGAAAAGAGAAATCCTGATTTTACCACGTAGCATACATTTATGTAAAATCTAGCAACTTTGCGTTGTTGTAACCAACTCTCTGCACGCAACTCCGAGTGTTCAGATTCAACTCTCACGCAATGTAGATACCCTTCGCTTATTTATTATTTTATTTCTACTGGAATATTTACCGTTTGTTTATTATGTATGCACCTCTTGTTGATGTATAGCTGTAGATGATCACGAAACACAGATGTGAACTTTTTTTCAGAATTCAATCAATCGCTAACAAGGAAAAAGTAGTTATCTTTGACCATTGACTTTGTGATAACAAATTATAATTTGATTTAAGTATTTGATACAGTTCACACTATTATAATTTCTACTTTGTTTTGCTTTATTATATATTAACAGATTTTCTCTTTTCACAAACATTATACACAATATTAAGTCCTTTGACTTTCATAAAACACATTTCTTTTTCTTATTGCAACGTATTGCGGTTGGTCGATAATTACTTTTGTTGTTATGCCTTTTCGTAGCCAGTTCTTGATTCAATCATTTATCAAATCAAACATACACATTCCTATGAGTAATTTAAAAAACATAAATTCTTAAAATAAGTGTTTATCAAAAGTACCAAATGTTTTGATATTTCTCTATTGGCACAGTCTAGTCTCTCAGCATGTTCTGTTATTTGTGTGGTTGTGCGCTATTAGTCTTAAGGCTTATCCAAATTTTCCTTAATTTTCAGGTGTACTCACCGTTAATGTTAGCGTGCTACTTCTTAGTTTAGCATCTCCTGACGAATCTAGTCTAGTAAGTTTACTTTTCTCTAATACTTTAAATTAATATTAAACTTTATTTAAGGGTTACGTATTCCATAAGAACACATATTTAAACTTTGTCCATTTCCTTAAATAATAGGTTGGGGAAAAAGTATTTTCGCATTATTGTATGTATGAACTTCTAATAAAACCATTTGTATCTGGCTGGTTTTGGTATCATTTAAAAGTTTATATATTAAAGAAGATTATTCCAGTTCAAATCATAAAAATATGTGATTTCAATTTGTACTTCTTACTGGCAAGAAGAATATATGCAATGAAGAAATTTGATACATTTTAAAACTACTACAAAAAAAAAGCGAAAAAAAATTGTTCATGAACCTAGTGCAGTGTCTGTGAGTTTAGCACAATTTTGGTTTAAGCGTTTCCAATCCGGAAATCTTTATGTCAAAGATGCAGGTTGCTCTGGTCACCTGTTACGAATAAAATGGATGCCATTTTGTAAAAATGGAGAAAGATCGGCAAATTAGTACTTACGACATAGCTGAAGAACAAGAATTGACCACAAAACAATTTTGATGCATTTGAAAAAAGCTGGGTACACAAAGAAGCTTGATTTTTGGGTGCCTCACGATCTCACTGAAAGAAACCTCATGAACCGGGCCGTGTACTCATTTGTGATTCTTTATTACGACGTAATGAAATCATATCTTTTTAAGAAGCTGTTTACTAGTGATGAAATGTGGATCACGTACGTCTAGAACGTGCGAAAAAGGTCGTGGTCAAAGGCCGGACAAGCTTCACAGACTCTGGGGAAACCCGGGCTAAGTCGCAAGCAGGTGATGCTGTATATATGGTGGGATTAGAAGGGCATTATTCATTATGAGCTGTTACCGCCAGGCACGTCCATCGATAATGAACTTTACTGCGAACAACTGATGAGATTAAAGCAAGAAGTTGAGAGAAAATGTCCGGAATTAATCAACAACGGTGTGGTTTTTCATCATAATAACGCTAGACTTTATCTTTAGCCACTCAGCAAAAAAAAGGAGAGTTTGACTGGGGGGTTAATGTATCCGCCATATAGTCCTGACCTTGCCTTGACCTTCAGATTTCCACTTATTTTGGTCTGTTCAGAATTCTTCAGGTTAACATCACGAGAGGACTGCCAAAACCACTTGTCGCGGTTTTGAGATCAGCAGCCTCAAATTTTCTATAGCAATGGGATCATGTCCCTACAAGATGGCAAAAAAATATCGAACAAAATGGCACCTACATACTTTAGATAAATTTACATAAATTTTATTAAAAAATGTTTTGAATTCTCATATAAAATGCTTAGAACCTTTTTTTCCAATCTAATATAATTTTTCTACTTGTTTTCTATAATATTTAATAGTAGGCCAAACTTATAATCTCATTAAATTATTATTATTATATTTATATATTATTATTATTATTAATCTAAACAACATTTTACTAGAAAAAAATCCACTCGGTGCAGGTTTCAAACGGGATTCCAACGGACTTCTTCCGCTATCCGGGCGGACACACGAACCAATATGCTAACAAGATTTTAATAGCCGTATCGTATTTCTTCTTATATTTATGCAAGGCAGATTGAATCTAAACATTCAGCAGTTAAATGCTTAAATTAAAAATGTAACAATTAAGTATTACAGTTAAAATAATTAAAGGCAAACCTTCAACAGGTATATCTTTTTTTGTTAATAAGGCACATAAAATAATATGACCAAATAACAAGACAATACCAGATAATAAAAATCGAATTTCGAAATATTGTATCAGTCCTACGAAGCCTACTATACCGTTATATATTGGTCTTTTTATTATACAGAAATACGAAGTGGAGTTTCTTCTTCAACAACAGTGGTACGATCCTCGGCTTCGGTATTCCAACCAGTCACACTACGACTTCTTGAACGCCATCCATCACCACGAGGATATCTGGCTACCCGACACTTACTTCATCATGCACGGTGACTTCAAGGTACTCTTTAAATGCGTCACTAATAGCAACATTAATAATAGATATTCCAGAAAATTTCTGATAATTCTGAGCACACCCAACTTCGCAATATATTTTCCTGGACTCTAGAATAATTTAATATCCATTTTTTCACATTAAGCTTATTTCTTAGGACTTTTTTCAGGACCCAATAATACCAATGCACTTTGCATTGCGTATCTACCGTAACGGAACCATCAACTACTTGATGCGTCGGCATCTCATCCTCTCCTGCCAGGGAAGGCTCAACATCTTTCCTTTTGATGACCCATTGTGTTCATTTGCCTTAGAAAGTAGTAAGTTATTACAATTTGTTTACTAATAAATTGTTGAACAATTTTGACAGGTTACATAATTAACTTATCTTATGCCACTTTTCATTTCGCATCAATTTTATGATTCTAGTATCTTACGAGCAATCAGCCATCACATATGTATGGAAAAACGATGAAGACACACTTAGAAAATCGCCATCGCTGACGACGCTGAATGCCTACCTCATCCAGAACCAAACCATTCCCTGTCCCATCAAGGCTAGTTGGAGAGGTAACAAACAAAATTTTTGTATCACTCTTTAAACACTACATCGCTTTGTGAAACTTAAATTGATTTTGTTTCATTATTACCAACCAAAACCTTCAACGACCGTAGACTCGCCTCCTTAAAATCCTTCTCTTTTGTTACAAGCACATCCTATATTTTGCACAAGAAGGGATCAAAGATAATTTAGTAATCGTATCGGAATTCTGATTAACTCTTTTCAGCTTGGTCTTGATTTGTATAAAGGTTACTTTTAGGAATTTCTTTTGTGTCTCAATATTTTTATGTAGAAGCTTCTAGTCTTAGTTGATGTCAAATTATTATGTTATGGTTTCAGTTTAGGACATAGCTAGAAACGCATGATCATCATACCCTCATTTGTTCGTTTGTAGAAGTTGTGACTCGTTTGTGTCAGTTGTGGCACAAATACATAGTACCAATCAGACTTGATTTCGTTAAAAAGTTAAATAAACCATTAAAATATAAAATGTAAGACTTTGTTAACGTCTTTGCAAGCAGCTGATGGTATTTCACTTTACGAAGATGATGAGGAGCTGACATGTAATCTTTGCCAGAGACGGTTTGAGGAGCAAGGTACTTGAGTCGCACCGGACGGTACACCATGTGTCCGGTGTCATCATATTTGCCCTATAATGTGGCTATGTGTGAGTAAATGCGTAATTGTGTTTGAAACGAAGCGAGCGGTCTATAAAATAAAACAAAAAGGTATATATCTTTACAATTTAAAGGGTTACTCACACTATTACTTCAAATCATCCAATCATTCCCACTTGCATGTGACATCCTTACCCTGTGTGAAGCACGTATTAAAGTACTTGGCTCTTAGTTACTTGGAAGTGTCTATTGATGGTAGAACTTTAAAATCATATAAACACAACACGCATTACTCATGCATTTAAATAACGTAGATATTTTATTTATGTATATTTCTACTACTTTAAAAATCACTGAAATTAAAGTACAAGGCCTCTGAATAGAGTTATTTGGAATTTTTACAACGCTTTTCCGTGTTTTTTCTTTAATTTTTTTCACAGATATCTTTCCCATGTGTGGCATGAATAGTGTTTAAAATGTTTCTAAAACTGTTCAATCCACAGGTAACTACAGCTGTTTAAAAGTCGACCTAATATTTACTAGAGACCGGGCGTTCTACTTTACAACTGTATTTATACCCGGAATAATTCTGGTGACATCTTCGTTCATCACGTTTTGGCTGGAATGGAACGCTGTGCCAGCCCGTTCCATGATAGGTAAAACTATTGGCTGGCAATTGAGAATGTTCTCGGTCTTGCATTTTATTTTTTATCCTCTTTCTTCTGATAGATGTGGCTGGGGCTGTTCATATGACACGCTATAGATTTGTTTCCGCCGGTTCTGCTTATTTGTTGGCGATGTAAATACAAAATATTTAAAAATATTGAGCCAGCAGTCACAATCACAAACGCCTAATTTTGTTTCATAATTTATTTTTAGATTTTGCTTAATTTCATTTTAGGTAATTACAGCTGCCTCAGGGTGGATCTTATCTTCACGCGGGATAGATCATTTTACTTCACCACAGTTTTCATTCCGGGCATCATTTTGGTGACATCATCGTTTATAACATTTTGGCTGGAATGGAATGCCGTGCCTGCTAGAGTAATGATAGGTTGGTTTAATTGTTTCATTTGCTACTTATCGTGACAAGGCATTTTATTTAAAACAATTTATTTGACTTGAGATTTCTACCGTCACGTCTACAATTTTTAATTATTGTTCAAGCAATTATTAAATGTTTAAAAAGTTGCACACCATAATTGCATTTGCACTTCGTCAAGTGGCTGTATAGAAAGCACGGAAGATAAATTCGTTAAATATAATTATAACTTATTATTTATTTTATTTAAGCTCTCTCTAAGTTTTATTGTTGTAACGTACTAATTTTTGAACAGGTGTAACGACAATGTTGAATTTTTTCACAACGTCGAACGGATTCCGATCGACTTTGCCGGTCGTTTCGAATCTGACTGCTATGAATGTTTGGGACGGTGTGTGCATGTGCTTCATCTACGCCTCGCTGTTGGAGTTCGTGTGCGTCAACTACGTCGGCAGAAAGAGGCCTTTACACAATGTCGTGTACAGGCCTGGAGAAAATCCAGTCACACAGGTAAATGACGTCACCACTAACTATATAAACTATTTTGGTTTCTCTATTTTCTTTTTCATTAAGTAATATATTTTTATCGATGTTGTTTTCATTAGAACCGAAAGCACTTTTAAATTTATTTACCCATGAATGACAATAACTATTCAAAACAAATCCTTACTATTTGAAATTCGATCACAGTGCTTTGATTTACTGGGAATGTGATACAATTAGAGTTCACCATCCATTACTAATAAAACCATGGTTTTAGTTGCTTTATTGCTCTAATAAATATATTTGGTGATACGTTTTACCGAACTGCGTTTAACGTTAAAGAAACGTAAAAATAAAGTTTACATGAAAAAAATATTGCCTCTATTTCATATATTGTACCAAATTATCCCGAAGTGATATTTGCCATCAATAATAAAATACATTTGATATTGGAATCAGCTTTCTCAATCATTAAATATTATTTTGGTAACGAATACATGGTATTGTTTGCATGTGAATGTGAATAATTGGAACCCAAATTTTTTTAGCATTATCTTTGCGTTATTTATGTCTTGTAAGTATAACTCCTGTGTCACTAATTGTTTCTTTTCGATGTTTGCTGTATTCAATTGACACAAATTCTTTTTTATTTCTACTAATCATGTAGGTATTTCACATTATGTGTACCTTTTATAATAATCGATTTGATTAACTTCGTTGTAACGTTCTTTATAATAATATAAGTCCTTAAGAAAGATTATGTAACACAGAATCAACCACAGCGGCAATGTTACATAATTAGTTCTTCCATTTTTTAATTTACAAAAAGCAATCAGTTGGTATCCACAATATATAAACTATTAAGTAGGTATGAACCTTTCTAAGCTTTATCATATATATTACATGATTCTTTTAAAAGCATGTTAAACTCATATTTTGTGTGTTTCGAATTGTTATATAATTTATTGCAAGAGATCTTTCTTAAAACGAATTCTTTATCTACCACTTAACTCTTTGCAATGTTTTCTTTTATATAATTATAATAAATAAACAAATTAAATTCTTACATGTTTTTATTCGTTCCTGTATAATTGGCATGCTTCACACATTTTCCTCTCTTTTGCATGTTTATTTTCCATGTACATACATAAATATAATTGAATGTTGGGTAAGCCAGAATTCATCACATAATTTAATTTGCAAACAAGCAGTTTATATATTCAAAAGACTATTTTGTGTGGCCAGAAGCTTCAAACTTCTGTTACTAGTTAAAATATATTAATATTTGCTTTTTATAACCAACTAATTTTGAATTACCATTGCGAGAAAACATTGCAAAGACTTCACACTATATTATTATCATAAAAGTAAATAAAAATATAAATCCGATGAGTATATGAATTCCCTTTTAAAAATGTCAGTGTAAATATTTTCAATGAGCCTCAGTTTTGCTGTTTATTCGGAAGGATTTTTCTGTTTTTTGGCCACAACAATTTAGTCTGATTTCACGTTGGCACACGTAAGACCATCCGTCACGAGTGAACAAATTGTGTGTGTGATGTGTTCACAGCGACTGCCCGCTGTCCTGAGCAGAATTGGCATTATACTGGCCAGCCCCTTGGTAAGAACCCTCGCCACAATCATTGGCACATCCCAATCAATTGTTCTCTGTTATATTTCTTTTGCAAAACTTTAATATCTACTTACTTTTGCAATTCTAAACCTTTTAGCGTTACTTCCAAGTGCCATCTTGTTCTTTTCTCTTGTCGACAAAATAAAGTTTTATCAATATGTGAAATAAATATAACAGATGATTTTCAAGTCACTATTGCTCCAGTGGCACGGTTTTACGAAAGCATGCGTACATACTTGACTATTCGTAGGTTCAAAGTTTATTTTCTACTTTCCTAAGTACCCTGACGGTAAGTGCTTTATAGCTAAATCTAAACAAACTTATCCTTCGTAGTTTTATTTTAAGTAAATGCTTTCGCCGCATGTGACATAAATTATGAATATGCCCCTTATTAACTGAAATAAAATGCTATACGCATATAACTAGTCTGGCCATAAATACTGTTAAAGAAAAACTTTATATTTTTTCAATTTTTTAATTATTTGGAATTTTGGAAACTTCTTTCGATTTTGCGCCATTTCACATATTTTTTCGTATTCATTATCAAATTGTAATATGGAAAGGGGTGTTTAAGAAAATAGGATTGCAGTGATCGCCTTTCACAAAGTGGGTATGGAGCCGTCGGTCATATTTCAGACACTTCAAAAGCTTGGTATCAGCCGTATGTTCGTATATCGTACTATCAACAGATACAACTATACTTCGTCTGTCGAAGACCAGAAAAGATTGGGGAGCCGTGTGCTGTTAGAACTACAAAGTCTGTTAATGCTGTTAAAGCCAGAATTTGTCGGAACCCCATTAGGAAGCAAAAAGTCATATCGCGTGAAATGAAGATTACCGCTAGGACTCTGTCACATATTATAAAACAAGACCTGAAGTTCGGTGCTTATCGTCGATATACAGGACATGCCCTAAAACAATTTTTACAATTAAAGAGAGTGGATCGATCAAAACGCCTTCTGTCGCAATACGCAGGTCAAAAATACAGAAATATCCTCTTTAACGATGAAAAAAATGTCACGATTGAAGAACGCTACAATAAGCAAAATGATAAAATGTACGCTGACAGTTCTAAAGAAGCTGCTCAAGTGGTCGGAAAGGTACAACGTGGATGACCACGCGTGATGGTCCTGCGTCAGTGATGGTTTGGTGAGGCATGTCTTATCAAGGAGCTACAGAACTACAGTGAAAACTACTTTATGAAAGAAGAGCGAAAACTTAAGCCCAAGTGTATCACGATACAGTCTTGGATCATGTTGTGAAACCTCTCACCAATACAATTTTTAAAATGTACCGTGGACTTTCCAGCAGGATTCTGCATCTGGTCACAAGGCACGCACTACCCAAGCCTGGCTTGAAACCAACGTTCCGGACTTTATAAAAGCTGAAGACTATCTATATTATCTAGCCCAGACCTCAACCGTTCAGACTTCAGATTAGGGTGGTGGTGGTGGATGGTCAGTTTTAGAGGACATGGTCTGCTCTAAAAGACACGGCGACATTGAGTCTCTTAAAAAATCTTTTGAGCAAGCTGTGGCGAAATTTCCCTTGGAGACAGTGCGTTAGTCCATAGCTTCGTGGCCAAACAGATTATAGGCCTGAATAAAAGCCAAAGGTGGCCATTTCGAATAGGATATTTAATTATTATTTGCTGAGACTCTTATAAATATGTAGGTAGGTATAAATTTTAATAATATTACATTACTTCATTTAAAAAATGCATTTCATTTGTAACAGAACTTATGGCTGGACTAGGCATATAAAGAATGAATTTTTGTAACTGAAGTTATTAAACTTGTTTTATAAAATATATCTCTGATTTCACTTTAAAAGGTTTACCTGAATCACGCATGGCTACATTTGTACCGTTTTTGATACTATGCGACACTATACGATATCACACTTATTTTTTATTTATACATCATGATATATTTTATCAAAATAAACTCGTAAGTTCCAATGTAATAAAGATATGTGAAATTTTATAATATGGGTACCTAATCTATCTACTTGCTTACATAATTAAGAGAAAAAAATCTTTAAGAACAACTAACACATCATAACCCATTCAAATAAAGGTACGAAGAAATAAGTAGGTAATATCAATTAAACATATTAAAAAAATGCTTCCTTTCCGAACTAACTAAATCTCAAAAGCTTAGGCAATTAGAAATTGTAATGGCTTTAGCACAAATAGCATTCAAGGATTATGTATTAGATAAAGAAGGCGTGTTTTCGTGTATTCCTAGACGTGACTGGAGTAGCAATAAAGTTTAACATTTGACAAACCACAATTTTCAAAATACAAATAAAGTTTAAAGTAAATTCTTCGGGAAACATTGCGAGTTTAATCAGTAGTCACTGAAAATACCGAATCATCCCTTCCCAGAAGTTATACTTTATTTATATAAGCCTAATTTTGCAATTCATGCTTAAGCTAAACCAATAATGTAATTTACGTATAGGAGGCGATGGCATTCCTCAATTGGGCAAAATCTGAAAGCCCCCAACCGGAAACTAGCGGTGCTGTAAGTGATGTCACTGAACAAACGTCATTGAGCCTGCCACATGTTACTTCATTGACCCGATTATCACGAAAACTAACGCATCATTTATTTTATTTAACGCTGCTTCGGATTGCAACAGCCTGTAAGTACGCTCACTACAAAGCATTACCCTCTCATTTAGAATGTATATCCTTTCAACCATATTTCTTTATTATTGTTGTATAATATTTTTTCAATAGTACTAGTATTATTTAGTGCATAAACTACTATTTCATTTCAAAGTAGTTATTCATAAATCATAATTTCAATAGTTTCATGCTATAACTTTATTGACTGGACCATACCTGTGCACTCCCAACGCAAAACAATGTATATTGATAAAGTGGGAGATTACTGTAAGAACAAACTCAATTCGAACCGCGGAATTTGCCGTTGTGATTTGAAAATATAACATTCGTGTTGTAATTTTAAATCATACCGCGGATTCGGAGGTGAAAGGTGAGGTTGTTCTATTTGTTCTTACATAATAGTACTAATTTACTTACAAATCCTGTTTCGTAAGCTGCTTTTGATTTGCGTTAAGAGTTTATGGTATCTACGAGTATTCCCTGAACTCATAGATAGATTGCATTCAATCCTTCCTTTTTATCCTTAATATTTTGAATTTAGAAAAGAATGCTCAGATAGCAGATAAATTGTCGTGTTATGTTAATAGGGTGACAAGAAACGGGAATCAACTGGTGCTGCAGATTTGGTTACTTGTGCGACGTGCACGGGCCCTCCTGGGTCGTGTACCCACACTACCAACAACGGAGGAGTATCGGAGGTAGGCACACCAAATTCTGCTACCTATAATATATAAAGAAACGTAGTAGATAGGAGATACTTATACAGCTAACTACATACACACTCAGTCCGATATCAACAGATAACATCAAAGAATTTTTTGATGTGTCAGAAAATTTAAAATTCAAAATTTTTAATTTATACATGCTTGTATTTATTTCAAAAGTATAAAAACCATACAAATAGTTTGTTCATGAATGATAAAACACTGCATTCATTAAGCTCTTGCAGAAAACAAGTACTTAAAGCATCTTCTGCAGTTTTCCAGTATTTCTAGATCTTTTAATAGTAATTCCATCCAAAGTAACATCTCATTTAAAATAGTACACGGACCGTACTGTAAATTGCTAAAGCGAGACAGTATCCTCTACTAAAGCGAAACACCTCTATATTATTTTACAAAAAAATTTGGATTACATGGTATGACTGCTGACTCCGGCACACTAATAGCATCATTATGCCTCATCTCCCACGGCCAGCTTCCTATATCATCATTCATTTTCAAATTAATCTTTTTCAGCCATGTTTCGTCCAGGTTCGCAAAAAAGAACCGCCGCACCCGATCCGAGTGGCGAAGACCATCGACGTCATCGCCCGCATCACATTCCCCACTGCCTACGCCGTTTTTCTAATCTTCTTCTTCATCCACTACAAAGCGTTCTCTTAATGGTGCCTCCACTTCTGCTGCTTGTGTGAACAAACTGTATTTATTAATAAGATTCCTATTAACATAAAGCACTGGAGTCCGACGACGTCCGTCGATATTCGAACGGATTGTGATTGTAACCTCTATAGTGATAATGTTAAAAGACTTATTTTGAAAAGCCAGCGAACGTTGCTTATTTGCCGCTTATCGCAATGACGAAAATTTTGGCGAGTAACGATAGCTTTATTATGAAAACGGTGAGTAACGAAATTCTACGGGTTTTGAAATAGTTTTCCATCGAATTCAGTTAAGTATGCGTGTCTATTTATAATAAAGTACATTGTGTAATTTTATATTATTTTCGTGTACACTAAACTTATGATATATATAGGGCAAAGCGGGATCAATAACATAATTGTATGAAATATCTTGTATCGTTGTTATTAGATCAGATGAACGTATCGAAAGTAAGGAAAGGGTGGCATTAGAAAATTTACGTTTACGTTTTAAAATTATGAAATTTCCATTAGGTATTCTAAAAATGAAGAAATCTATTTCAAAACTAGTTACAGTCCAAAACTTACTTTGTCGCTTTAAATTTTATTATTTTTTTGCTAGGGTATATAAGATAGTAAAAGACAATTAAACTGTTATATTTACCTAGATATTATTAGATTGAATCATCTCGATTATTAATTTAATCATATACACCCACGTAAGTTGTGATAATATTAATAATGTTTTGAAAGTTGCTTTATACATAGGAGTGAGTTATAAATGAGCAATTGTTTACTGTTATTGTTTTGATTGTGTTATTGCATAAGTTCAGTTTTATGTTCAGAACAGTCAACAGCGCATCAGGTTATGCGAAACTGTCCAAAGGTCACAACTGATATTCAACCTTAAATGTGTATAATTAGATCAATATCTACTTTGAATATTTGAAATTTTGATGAGCTGTTTACTGTACCTAAGATAGAGAAGTCATTAGATGTAGTTGCATAAAGTAGACGAAGCTCAAGAAGTTACTATCTTAAAATAAAATATAAATTAAAATAGTGATGATAATTGAATATTCACTTGTAATTTTGATCCTACATGTTTACTAGACCATTAATTATATATTTGTTTTTTATATCGTACCATGAACATGCCTTCTACATTCAAAAAGTTATTTTTGCCTGATTGCACTTGTAAATATTGTTATACTTAGCAATTTTGCCTATTCGTATTAATTATTATTGTATGACGGTAATGTTAACAATAAGTAGTTACATTATTTTTTGGCATTATGCCGCCAGAAAAGATAGCTTGAGTAAAAAGCAGACATCGGAAACACATATTATCTCTTCCAACAATTACAACATTTAGCAAAGGTTCGGTAAACTGAAATATTTATATTTGAATGTCAATAGTGAAACCTATAAAGTTTCAGATTAATATAAATAACATTGGGTTGTCAATAATCAATTACCAACATACTTTTAAAATCATCACCTTATGGATCTCACTTTTTACATTTACATCCACATTAAAAATAAGAAGTTCGCCACTTAGAATAATATAATAAACCAGGAATAAACTGAGCCCAAGAAAATAAATATAATGTTTCCATACAAAGAATTAGTCGTAGAGTTGACTACCTATCCATACTTTAAGTTTGGTCAATTTTCTACCACGATTATTTGAATGTTAAACTAACGAACATGCGTGACATTAAAAATGTATCCTCTATAAATAAATAAAGTAATTTAATCGTAAAGTAAAATCAGTTCAATTGAATTATATAGGTACCCATCAATACATGCCTTTCGCTTGTTAAACGTGGACCAAAGAGTCAACTGTTTTGGAATATAGATTTTATATCTTATTGTATTTAAACCATTATTTGTAAGAAAAAAAAACGCATTTTGGCTGTGCTTTGAATTCAAATAATGATTAATATAGTTATTTCACGTCTAAATTACAGTTTGTATTGGAAATCGGATGTTTTATATTCGAATTTTAGTGGAGTATAATATGAAGAGGCATGCCTATAGGTGCTTTTGAAATCGTATTAATAAATACATACATAGGAGCATGGCAATATATAATTCAGTCATTAGTAATTTTGACTGCTGTAAGCAATGATATTACATCGTATGGCATGACAAATAGATATAATACTAACTTAGCCGAGTATAAAATTGTTTTGTGAACATACTCAAATTCACCTGTAAATCAGTAAAATTTGCATTTAGGATAAAACTTTTTGTCAACCAGAACAATAGCTGGATGAAGTTGCAGTATATCATTACATTGGATTTTAAGTTTGCTTGAGGTTGATCCCATAATAGAAGTTAATTAGGTATTATTTTACCCAGGGTCACCTAGGTCGTTCAAATCTTGAAAATTCAAAAAAATTCAAAAATCTTTGATGCGTGGACAATCCAGAGTTACTTATACGTCAGTATAAGTGATTCCCGATTGTGCCCAGTTTTATGTTATTATTATAATTTGATTAACGATCAATATTGAAATATGTAGGTTTCTATATTTTTTGTTACCTACCTTAGTCGTCTACATAAAATATCAATAACATTGGTATTTAAAACTTTGATTGCCTGCCATTATTCAAACTATTGTTGTAATTACTTATGTGTATAAAAATTTAGTATTCGTGTTTGTAATTTTAAATTTTATTACATGTTATAATTTGAGTGGATCATTCCCAAAAAATTAAATATGGGCATAAGATGATACTATTTTCAATTCGCCTCGTTTTTATACTATATATATTTAAAGTTTAAGAAAATAATTACATATCATTCGCTTTATAAGACAGTCTTATATATTTAAAATGCTATACGACCTGTTTAAGCAAAGCTTTATATTATATGAATAGTATATATTATATGCTGCGTTTAAAGTGGAAAGTGAGATTTATTGTTAATAGAGTTATTTATCAGCGACCTCGAGAGGTGATTTTAGTTGATATCCTAAAACAAAATGTTTATTGTTTATCTTGAGAGACCGCTAAAGCCTTCCTCCATACACAAACTAATCACAAAGTCACTCAAACTGCTTGAGGTAATAAGAATAATATAAGAAAAGAAAAATTTCGGACAAACGATAGAGGTAACAGTTTCAAAAATTTTAAGTGGGTATCACCTAATGTGAAAAAAAAATACGATTTCATTATAGATATTAACGGGATTGTTACCATGTACCTTGTTTTTTATGAGTCTCCGATATTTCGGCACTGTTGCAAGCGCCATGATCACGGAGTAACTGAAGTAATTGCTGGTAGATGTTATTGGCAGACATATCGGTCTACCCTCTGACGTCGTCTTTTACTGCGTTCGATACTACCACTACCATTGGTCACATTCTCACTATTCACTCGCATTTGTTCCCGGCACACAATACTCACAGTATCAGATCGCGGAACGACACTTTTTTGATTTTTGCGGTTTTTACACATACGAACCACTGGATTCCACACACTAGACAATTTAAACCCATCCTCACGATTGAAATTCTTGTGTTTGGTTATTTCAATCGCTCCCCTGACCAATCTTGGTATGTAGTGGCGTTCTGTCGAGATAATTTGTGGATTATGGAGCTCAATCCAGTGATTAGGACCCGAATCAATTCGCTTAGTTCAGCCATCGCAAACATTTAATTGATTCGGGTCCTAATCACTCCGTGATCATGGCGCTTGCAACAGTGCCGAAATATCGGAGACTCATAAAAAACAAGGTACATGGTAACAATCCCGTTAATATCTATAATGTTAGTGACCATGAAAGTTTAAAACAATAAATACGATTTCTTTCAGTAAATACTGACATATCCGTTCGTCTATGTGTCAGCGAGCTGTAAGATCTTATTCATTATTTTATTTTGCAAATATCCTAAATAAGACATCTTGTACTTGTCTGACTCACTAGGTTTATTTGTTAACAAGGTACCTACTAAACAAATTGTAATTTTAAGAATTAAACTGCTAGATATAGATCTTAAGAAAAATTGTATACTTACTAGAAAAACTCACTTGACCATCCTGTCTGATACCTGGATATACCGAAGACAAAAGAAAATAATAATTTCCATTAAAATTTTCTTTTGCCTTATTTGTCACTTAAATTATGACCTTCTGCAAATCAATTATCAGTTAAAATCACCTCCTTGAAGAATGCCTTCAACACTGCTTTACCTACAAAAAATGTTATTGATATAATAAATATAATCTGGTATGTCGGCGCAAGCACGTATGATTCGTGAGGGAAAAGATTTTAATTTTCAGCAGTTATGCGTACAGAAAACTGCGTCAACATACCTATTCTTTTATGTCTATACACATATACTTATTTTTGGCGTTCATTCGAATTCACTCATATATATTTGTAGCATTCACAATGCTCAATTGAATTGTTGATTTTGTTTGTAAATAAATACAATTTAAGATATACTCTAATGCTGATTATTTTATAGTGGCTGATTCCTTCTTATCGCAAAATATCAGTATTTTATTAAAGTGACTGACCTGCACTTGTGAAATAAACTCTAAACTGTAGGTATATCGTTGAACCGTTATAACAAATTGACTTGCCTTATTTATTACGTTCCTAACATAAATTTCCTTTATCGAATTTTCCTTTAATGAAATAATAATTTTAAAGTTTTGTAAAATAGAAACACAATCAGGAAAAAAACATAAAAAAATCTTTTAGTATATTATGAATAGGCTTTGTTCTATCTTAACACGTGAACATTTGTATAAAATATCCAGAAGAAATAATATTTTTTAATAAACTTACAGTATCATTGGAATATTCATTCGCCATTACGTACCTACACGTGACTGATTTTGGAGAATCCTAAATGAGCATATTTTTGTAATATTATCTTTCTCTTTTTTTTAATTTACAAGTACATGATATCTTTGACACCTTGAACCTACGCGTAGTTTTCCTATAAATACTTATAATGAAACAAATGCTTCGCCCATAACGAGAGTAGGCTGGTTGAGCCGCTTATATGATATTATGAAGTTAAAGTATTTAATAAGGATTTATTTAAATACTTAGGTATTTTAAATGTGTATATACCGTGCTGTACCATTAAACAATAAAACGAGTAGGTAGTGTTATTCGTCAATAGATAGCATAATGCTATTTTTCGCATGTAGCCTTCTATTTTAAACAAATACTAGTTAAATCAAAAACTCACTGTATTGTAAATATAGATTTTTATTTCTTTTCCTTTTAATTCTTTCTTAAATTTTTATAGTATAAAAATCGGGTTCCAAATAAACTTCTGAAAACATCAACCTATAAAACGAGATATGTGTGAATCTTATATCTCCTGTTTCTAATTAAGTTTATAAGTTGCTATAATAACACCGTATTATAGTATTTTTTTAAGTAGGTAACTTAAAATGTATAATAATTAAAAGTTACTATGCACGAAAAGACATTAGTGAGATAAAAATTAAATTACGATGATAATCCAATACAAAAGTCTTTTTAAAAATGGATAATGTTTGACCACATTTTAATGTAGGTACCTGTACTTAGGTTTCATTTTTTTTAACATCGTTTTGATGCATTTTGCATGAAATTCGTTTTGGTCATTTTAGAATGATACTAGAACAGATAATTGTAAAATATGATTTGAAGAGACTGGCATAGTGTGGCTAAATATTTGCATACTAATACTTCTATCTAGTTTAATAAATATACCTACCCGCTATTTATATCTGCAGACAATACACATTATGTGAAATATAACATAAATTTTCTGTTAGATACCAAAGATGTAAACGTTGTAAATATATTCTTGTCCTTAACTTTCATTTTTTAAATTCTTTAAGTATATTATTCCGGCACTTCACATGGTTGTTCTGATTTGTTTTTTTTTTAAACTTGACTACAGTCTCTCCTTTTCACTTTCTAAAGAGTATGATAAGGACAACTTGGTGTCAAAATGACAAATAGCAAATACTAATGGGCATGTGAACTGCCCCGGCAATATGAAAATGTTATGCAAACCTGACGTATTGAAGTTATCTCCTTACATAACGTTATTAGATTCAGAAAATTCGTCCAAAAATCTTATGAAACTACAAGTATCTATCACAGCAAAAGCTTCAGATGATTTTACTTCCCTTAGAATTAATTTTGCCGTCTACACGCGACGCGGTGTCTGCGCTATTATATTAATGTACACTATTGCGTGCGTCCAAATCAAGCGAAAAATGCCGCCCACCACAGTGCGTGCGCACATTTTGTGCGTCCGTCTGGCGTGAATCTCGCAATATCAAAAATCCTTGCATTAGCGTTGGAGCACTTGATGCGTTGCGACGCCCCGCACCGCAAAGATTTCGCAGTATCGGCCGGCGTGCCCTTACGTTTGTAAGCTGCACCCATGCAAATCAGGCGTCGCGATTCTATTTTTAAGAATATAGACTAGTACATGTAGAAGGAATACTTTTTGCATGCTCTAAGAGTGGTTCAAGAGACAAACCGCCTAATTACAAAACGTTATATAAAGTTAAATCATAATATTTGTAAAGTAAATACAACACAGAGACAGTATAAGGTTTAAACAAGTGTTACGACATCGCTCGAATTACCAATTAGACCTATTTATTTCCAATTTGACAATTTACCAACATCAGGCTTGAGCAATGTCGTAACACTAGTTTAAACCAAGACTGACTTAAGTCCGAGTTTTGCAGTAAAGACGACGTAGTGGATGGTGGTGGCGTATAAAGTGAACAAAACTGCAAAACATATTACAATAACTTTTAATAAAAAGCATAATTTTATGCACGAACTTCAAATACAATTTCTTTCATAGATGATAATGTCGAAATTCGTGGTCGATTAATTCTGTTCTGAATGAATTTCTGTGTGCATTCGAATGGGGTTTTGTTAGTGATTGGTTGGTGTTGGGAAAACACACAAAAAGGTCACAATTCGACTTAGGAGGTGGGGCGCTGCAGCCGGGTTCTAAAGTTTTTTTTTTATATTTTTATAGATCATGAAAACGTCTATCGGGCCCGCTTAAATCCTATAATATCTATGAGGCCACTAGTTCCTTTAAAAGGATGGCAAACAAGCTTATGGCCCGCTTGATGGCAAACGGTCACCATAGCTCATAGACGATTGCGACAAAAATATCACACGCACCGTTGCCTACCCTGGCCCAATCCCCTACCCTACCCCTTGAAGCCCTGAAACCTTACTTACCGACAAACACAACACCACCAAAACATTTACTTTACTGTGATCTTCTGTGAGGGAGAGGTTATTTCCGCAGACGGGCGCTCCAATTCTAATGAAATATCTGCTGTGCCCTATCTCTCTTACATATCTTATATTTAAAATTCTCTTGTCACGGTGTGCGTAATTGAACTCCTCCAAAACGGCACGACCGATTTTCGTGAAATTTTATATGCATATTTAGTAGGTTTGAGAACATCTATTTTTCATACCCCTAAATGTTAAGGGGGGTTAATCCCCCACCATCACTTCTTGGACTATTTTTTTGTTTTTATTTTTTTATGATACATCATACAAAAATACATACGACCCTAAATTTTCACCCTTCTACCACCCATATTTTAATGGCGATACGAAGTTCGCTGGCTCAGCTAGTAAGGATATAAAATCAATTGCTATATTTATGCCAGATGAAGTATCTATCACTTGAACGAGTCGATCGATATGGCTGATTGTTAAAGTTCTAGTAGTTGTAGTGTTGATTATTTTCAGAACAAGGTTAGTAAGAAGTTGAATATTTTTGAAAAATTCACCAGAACACCTCCGAAAATTGGGAAATTCTGTTTTTGTACTGAAATCTCAACATTGCCCACACTAGCAATTAGCATTCGTGCGTATCAAAGGCTGGTCGCTGGTACCAATATTATTATTACTAGTAATTATTATTGGTGATATCAAAGATGATAAACGATATTAGGTTTTTAATATTATTTATTAATAATTGTGATTAAAGTTCGCGTATATGTTCTAATGTCAAATTAAAAGGTATCGTGTTGCGTGTTCAAGTTAAACAATTAACCTCCTGTTTGCTTCTGTACTTAACTGTAAAATTTTTAAATTGCTTATCAGTCCTGTGGTAACTATAATAGTATTCGGTACCTGTGGTCGGTCAAAATTTTAGGCAAGTTAATTTAAAAACTTTATGAAGCAATTAAGTAGTTGATAAAGTACATCACTAGGTAAGTACGTTTACATTAAATATTTTTTTAGAAAACATTACTAAGTCCGTCATGATATTATCTAATAAAAAGCTAACCTAGTATGTATAGCTACATATTATTGTAAAGTAAAATTAATCTAGATAAATAGCTTTGATTACAAATAGAATGAAACAATTTAAATAGTACATTGCATTTTATTGGTTTAGCGTCACACGCAGCATTCGTTTTTGTTAATTAACCATAGCCACAATTTACTTACCACCAACTTCTATATATAAACAAACTATAAATTCGCATGAATGTCCGGTGATTTAACAAGTCCCTATGTGAATACAAATAATATGTACAGGTACCCGTGAAATTTTATTCTTCATAATAACTTTTACGAAGAGATAGTGTAAAATTAAAAGTTTTGCGCTGTGGTATTGCTGTTGGTTATCCACAATCGTTAATATCTAAGATCCCGCTAAAATGCAATATTCACACTACATATATTTAATATGTAATATATCCTGAACAGGTGGAAGAAAAAATATCAAGGACGATTCAAAAGAGATTTTAATAAGTCAACTTGAATAAAGTTTATATGTAATTTCCAATATTAGACTTTTATTTTGACATAATCATGTTCTCTTGATTTACTTAAACGTATATTTCACTAAGACAAAATATTAAATCATGACCGAATGTGGTAGGAATCGCAAATATTCTGGATATTCATCCAATAGCTCATTGAATACTCAGAATGAATTAGAATAGCTGAAATATTTTTAAGATTGCGCTTTAATGTGCACACTGATATCAAGATGCTACTTAGTTAAGAAGTTACATATTTGCAACCATTAATTTAGTGTTTTGTACTTATAGGTACTTTAATTTTAATACCCAGACACGCATCGCCTTTGTAAATATAAATTGTCAGCGATGACCGCCCGTTCATATTTATACTTTTAGGTAGTGGCATTGTAAATAATTTTATTGTAAAATTTATGAATTACAATTTTCATTGAATAAAACACAAATTCAAATTAACTAAGGCTCTTATTTCAATCCTACAGAAGACCACTAGTAAAATAAACAGTACCCTTGGGTCCCCTATGGTTTCTTGCTACGAACTGATAGTTTCCATTGCGCTACGACATGATTTTTCAAAAGGCATGTTAATCAGGTACTTTCTGGCTGGCAACTGGCAAGGTATGGATGACCTCTCTGGCGTCGCACATCATCCATGAGTGACGATGACAGCAAGACTGCAACTTACTAGATAGTTCATGGTTTCATTTGTCACCCATTTATAGTCTATAGGTACTAATATTATAAAGTTGTGTCTATTTATTTGGTTGAAAGCTCTAATCTCAGGAACTACTGTTTCACATTGACAAAATAATTTTGTGATAGATAGCCCATTTATCGAGGAAGGTTAAAGGCTATAGGATATAGGTAAAGATGTTATATAACATCATGATAAGACTAAAAGGAGCGAAGCATTTATTTAAAATCTTACGAAAACTGGAAAAAAATATTATTCCTTTTCAGACCTTTCGTTGCGTGCACTGCGTAAACGGTTAAAGTTATACAAAAAGCATGTATAAAGAAATTGTTCTTCTTTAAAAGTTCAAATTAAAAGTGTGCAACATCAAACATATGTCTTTTTTTAAGGTTAACTCACTATAACCTTTTTTCTCAACGCTACGGGCACGGCACGGGGCGGGGAGCGGGCGCACGCCGCTACGTATGTACGTTAATTAATCAAACACGAGATAAAGCTTTATTTTTTCAACTTTTTACCTGTATTAAAACTAGTTTACACTTACCACATAAATCGACTATTAGGCGACACGAAGTATTTTATACAAAAGATGCCTAAACAGATAAGGTGTCTTTGATACACAGAATAATAAAACGCTCTACAATATGTAGTCGGGATAGTAGCCGCACAACGGTACTCAATAAATTAATCATTTAAGAGGTACAAGCAACGATATTAAATACAATATCGTTGGGTGCAAGTGTGTTTAATAGTTCTCTAGAACAGGCATTTAATCTAAAAATAAAAAATCTATTGAAACTCCATTAGGCCTGGAAGGTGACCTGTTAAGGTAAATGGTCTTGAGCCGAGTTAAAAACCTACTTGAAGAACAAGTCATGTATTCAGACCCTATAACTCTACTGTGCCATTGGCAACCCGCCTTCATAACACTAGGTCCTACTGTTCCGCACTATACCTCATCCATGCCACTAAAAATGGTACACTGTAAAATTTTCTTACAATAACTAAATACTGGAGAAGAGCTTTAAACGTAGTTATTATACTGATATTTGGAGTGGGAGTGAAACAAAAATTGAATGCACCAGCTGCAAGTTTTCCAGTGCAAATAGTAAAATCCTATTAAGGGACAGCGTATATTCGGAAACTGTTGTAGGTGGTGAGAGTACATTCTTTTTTTCAGATACATCAAATGTGGCGTTGTTGAAGTGTGGCTATGTGAGTATTATACTTATCCTCTTTACTCTCAAGCTGCACCTTGGATGCTCTGTCAAACCAACAATTTGTAAAAATAGGCTTTAATTATGAAATTGCCGTTCTGTCGATTTGGCTATTTCAAATCCATTTTTTCTTTTTTCAGCAACAATTATAAGTTCAAATTATTTTATTTTTAAGATATGGATTTTTTTTTTATAAATTAGTCATAATAGTGACGAATGGCGGCGTATTGTGAAGCGCGCCACCAATCCTGATATGACGACCACGACTACTCTGTCAAGAGTGTAGCGCCGAAGAAGAAGAAGTCATTAATTTGTTTAATGGTTATCGTTCTGTTTTCAGCGCATGTGACATTTTGCGTCATCGTGGATACGATATGACGCCGTTACGCACTGTCGACTAGTCGACGTAAGGGCTTTAAGTAGCGTCGCAGCAGCAAAGCAACACGCAACATCAACGATGTATACAGCAGCGGTGCCAGAACGTCCCAAAAGGGATGATTTTCGTCCCTTTTGTCATCAAAACGTCCCTTCGATGTCCTTTTACATATTCCGTCCCTTTTCCGTCCGTTTTAGATAAAGCTCCACTGCAACATTAGACAAATGCGTGACGTTTCACTCAGTGATTTTAGTTTAAAAAATTGCCATATCAATTCATTGCACATTGTTAACTTTGTTCGTCAAACCACCGAGTAAACTACATCGAATTTAACGCTCGCTATGAAGGTTAGTAGGGCACGTTTAACAAACAATCACACTTAAACCCAATAACCTACCATATCTTACCTAATAATAACTTTTGTTGTTGAGGTATATTTTTATTATAAAGATAATAACTTAGGAACAAGTGCTTGCTTTGTAAAATCTACGGTACGTTCGTACCACCATCTTCTTTATTTTTATGGTGTGCCTAAAAATATATAACTAATGAGGCCCTTTTAAGTATAGGGGAACCTATACTAATGTTCGCCCCCCCACAATGATTGGCCCTCTGGCATTTATACTAAAATATAAAGAAATTTATAAATAAATCACTTAACACGATATCTTTTTAAAATATTTGATGGCAATTCTTCAATTTTCAGTAGTCAGTTGACCTCTACAAACGGCAATATTTAAAAAAAAACAAAGTTTGATTGTTGCCCGTTCGCATATGCTACAAAAAGTCAACCAATAAACAAGAGATAGGTGTTTTCAAATACATACGTTATTTTCTAACTTCATGTTTGATTTTTCGACATCTTATATATATAAAATTTTTATGTTGGTTTGTGTACGCTTCAAAAACTCAAAAAGTGCTGCACCGATTGAGTTGAAATTTTAACATGATATAAAATCCGCATCAAGAATTGTTTTTATTTTTTTTTGCATCAGTCACATATCTGCGACCGCGAGAAAACAGTTTTTTTAACGATCAGCTGTGTACACAGACTAGTTAGAGATACGCTTTGTACCAGTGACCGCGCCATCTGCCAGAAGCCAGGGAAAACACTCTCTGACAACCGCAATAGTAATGACGCAGTCACAAGAGAAACAATTGCGTTCCCAATCACATTGTTTATTTACAAAAAAATGCATCTGATTGCACTTAAATCAAGAATTTTTGGTGTGATAGTGTTGTGATCGAACTGCGCCTTTCACCAAATCGTAAGTAGAGGTTATATTTTTTATCAAAGATGGACAGTAAAAATATTATTTTTATTGCAATTATTATTTATTTAATATTAATTAATTAAATAAATAAGTAAAATATTAGTTAAATAATTAATCAATAACAAAACATATTTATTATTGAAGTGAATCTCTTTTAATAATCGTGTTCCCGAGTCGGCAAACCAGATAGTCTTTATATCTACGCAGACAGTGGAAAAACGAAAAATATTGTATATCCACAAGTATTGCAAAATTAAACTTATATGAAATGTATTCTTTGTTTTGTTTCTCATTTCTCAACCATTCAATCACAATGTGCCACTGCGAGGCGTGGCAGGGTACAGCTAGTAATTTATAAAATGTATCCAATGCATAGATGAAAATTGTATTTTAGCAGAGATTTACCTAACACAGAGCAAAACATCAAAGTTTAAGTGTGCTATTCTTTATATAATGGGAGTACAATCACTGGTTAGTATGTAAATCAATGAACCGTATTATATTTTATTGCTTTTCGGTTTTTGTAAACTTATTATAAATCACATATTTTATCCGTATTAGCATCATAGCTCACATATCAGCTACACGCAGATGGCGATACGATGGCGCAGGTGGATAGCGCGCTTGATCTGCGATCGTCGAAGTTAAGAAACTTTCGCAATGTTTGGTTTTTGGATGGGTGCCCAAAAACTTATTATCTCGAGCTCCTCTGTGCTTCAGCAGTCGTTAGCACCTACGAATCCACACTGGGCCCACGTGGTGGAGCACGGCCCTATCTCCCTATTCCATTGTATTCCATCCATAGGAGGACATTAATAGGCTGGCGATAATGATGACACATATCAACTCAGAAAGGGATCGATACCGACTCGTCTTTCGGCTTACTGTCAAACAGGATAAAATGCATTATATCCACGACAATGACCAATGCCGCGTTGGTTTGCTGTTAACAAACCCTAAAGACGCAGGTAATTGCGTGGTGCATTCGGCCAGTGGCGAGCAACCCAAGGGCAACTAGTCGGTGCAGGTATACTTTGACATGCACTTACGCAAGAATACGTCAAACCACTCCGCCTCCGACCAGCAGCCCGGCCCGCACCCGCTTCAGCCGCCACCACCAGTCCCACGGACCGCAGTCCGAGCGGCTAACCAACCGACCTGTTCCCGTACCTACTAGGTAAACCTGTGCCCGATCTACCCCTCACCCCAGGCGTAACGGCGGGATCCAGTTATAAGTCGCCGCTTGTTACGCCTGGATTCCTACCCTCTCGCGATGGTGCCTCATCCCCTCCCTGGCAGTCACAGAAGGTACCGCTAGAGGGCTAGCGGGCGGGCTCGGCGTCGCTGACCATTCCTCCCCCTCCTAAAACAGGCGTCCACCAAACGTAAACGGATAAGCTCTTGGTTCAATCCGTAATTTTGCCCATTATAGATTATGCTGATGTGTGTTACGCTGACATATCTCAAGAACTTCTTAAAAAATTGGATCGATTGCTCAACAACTGCATTCGTTTTTTTTTCTCCGTAAATACGATCACGTTTCTGCCTTTCGGAAGAAGTTAAATTGCATAACAATTCGGCGCTTTGCAGACGGGGCGGGGCGGAGCGGGCCGGTCAATTTCGACGCGAACGATAGCACAAAGTGAATCCTATACTACAAACGCACACAGAGGGCAAAAAGACCGCGCCGCAGGTGCCCGGCGGGCGGTCGTGTGCTTTGTATACGCGGCGAGGGCAGAATTCTTTCCACCCTATATTCAATCATTAATTCCATGTGCTCCTGGATATTTGAAATGTAAATTTCGATATCTTGGCAGTATCCATAATCTGAATCTTCGGTCTTGCAGCAAACAAACTCTAGCTTTTCCCTCTCACCATACTG